GCCTGTAGTAATAGGTGTACGGATTTTGAACCATCTCTTCGTTTTCTGGTCCTAATTATTCCTACTCATCAATATTACATTTTAATTAACTGTTATAAATTGAGGGAAGATGCTCTATTTTTTGTACGCCAAAGTCCAAACCTTCTTCAGTAGCAGTACGCAATCTTCTTCTTCTACTCTACTCCCTCCTTAGTCCTTACCCATTTTTTAGTTTTGACTTTATTCTTTTCACTGAAAATGGTGTTTGGGTCATCTTCATCTACACCACAGTCCCCAACAACCTTTAATGTTGATGATAGTGACACCGAAATTAAAGAAATGCAAGTTACTCAAAAATCTCAATATGCTACACAAGCTAAGGATGCTGCTGCAAGTAATGCGAACAAACCATTGCTTGAAGAAGTTACCTTTATTGGCGGTGGTGACAGCAAAAATGCAGGTGGTGCAAAACAGTGGGTTTGCAAACATTGCAAAGTGAAGTATACAAGTTTTTATACAAAAATTCATGTTCACTTTTTTGGGCCGCTTGTGGGGAAAAAGACAGAGATCAGAAGGTGTCCAGTAGTCCTTAAAGATAGGCAACAATATGAAAGGCTTTGGAATAAAGTGAAAGAGGCAGAAGCTGGCGAAGTTGCAAAGTCCTTGAAGAATTCTCTACTCTCCAGAAATGTATCTTCGAAGAAGCGCTTGGAAGAATCTTTTGGGCTATCTTAGAGAGAAATACAGTTGACTTGAAGATCGTTAGAGGTTTGTGTGCAAATGGCATTCCATTCAATGTGTTACGCAACCCTCAGTTTATTGAAATGGTGAATGCCATCAAAAGGCACCGGAAGGATACAAACCCCCTTCTAGTGAAAAGGGAAGAACGGTATTGCTCGATGAGAGATCGAGAAGGTACACAAACATATTTTTTGGTCTCCTTGTTGCGTACACACTTTGAATTTAATTTTCAAAGACATGGCAAAAAAACTCCAATGGTTACAGAATACATATAGAAGAGGCAAGGTAATTGTTAAGTATTTAGTAACCATACCCATGGTTTAGCTATCTTTCGTGAAAACTCAAGGTTGGAGTTGTTAAAGGTTGCAAAAACCCGATTTGCATCCCATTACATTTTTTTAAAAAGGGTAATGGATTGTAGGGAGGCTCTTGCCTCGACTATTTTTTTGCAATTCTTGGAGGGAATGGGTGAGAAGCAGAGATGAAAATGCAAGAATTAATGGGGTTAGTGTTGGTGAAACAATTAAAAGTGGTTATTTTTGGGATGATAGGAATATTTTGACAATTACTAAGCCTATTTTTCTACTTATAAAATTTTGTGATGGTGATGGCCCAAAAATGGGTGAAATTTATGAAAGGATGGATAATATGTTGGGCAAAATAAAAGACATCATGGAGTATAATGTATTTTCTTGCTATTACCCGGATATTGAGAAAATTATTCTAGCTAGATGGGAGAAGATGACAATCCCATTTCACTGCTTGGGGTTTGCACTAAACCCAAGACTTTATGATAAATTCTATCTTGAAAAATTGGCTCCAGGTGGTATTCCAAGAAAAGCATCGAATCAAGATAAAGAGGTTGTACTTGTTGTTATGGAAGCTTTCAAGAGAATTGCAGAAAATCAAGAAGAGGAAAGGCTGTTATGGGAGCAATTTACTACATTTCATATGAAGAAAGGGATCTATTCAATGGTGGCAACACAAGCGGATTGCATGACAATGGATCCAATAGATTGGTGGTCAACCTATGGAGCCGAAACACCGGAATTAACCGAAGTAGGAAAGAAGGTGCTTTCAAAACCGATTAGTAGCTCTTCAGCGGAAGGGAATTGGAGTACATATTCTTACATTCATAGTGTGAAGAGAAATCAGTTGAATTGAAAAAGAGCTAACAAATTGATTTTCATTCAATCCAACATTCGACTCCAATCACGGTTTTCAGAATCGTATATAAAGTCGCTCCACACAAATATTGGGACATCAATCCCGAAAGCACATACATAGAAGGATCAAGTTCATGACTCGAAGACATGGTTTGGGAGAATCTAGAGGATTAAGACGTGGACAAGGCGAAAGGAAAGAGACCTCGAATTGATTAGTGATATACTTTTCTTGTTTGAACTTTATATCAATGATTGTAGTACGGTTTTTCTGTTTTGCTTGAAATGTTTCTAAACATGAACATGGTGCAGTTAAAAAAGTCTTTTTAAATGTCTAATACTTCTTGATGGATTATGATGTCAAAAAATCGCCAATCATCGATACATAAGCAGTAAATCTTTTGTATCATTTTAAATGAATGAAACATTGGGCATCCGCAATGTTGAGAATTCATTTGCCATTTTTGTCATGGCCTTTGGGCATGACACTGATGTTATATTGTTGATCACATTTAAGTGTAGTTATAAAAGCAAATATTTGTCAAACACTTTAAAGTATTGAAGCTTTGTTAATAAATGAGGTTCACCAATAGTAATTTTTTCAACCACTGATTACTCAGTTTGCAACATAGCAATGGCAAAAAATTGATCATTTTTATTGAGAAATTGATGCTTGAGATTTTAAAATAAAGTTTCAATTTTATTGATGAACATCGACTTGAAAGCATATGAATCATGAGTGTGACAGTGATCGTCATCGTAGCTCCGTGATACTAGGTTTAACAAAATCTTAAAGGAATTTTATCAATTCAGGACCTGAAAGATAAATGAATTATCAATCCGGGACCTGAAAGATGAAATGTATCGATATAGAAACCGAATGATGGAAAACTATCAATTTAGGATTTGAATGATTGGAAATTATCAATTCAGGACCTAAGTTGTCCGAAATTTTATTAATTTTTTTATCTTAAACTTTTTAAATATTATTTAGTTTTATGAAACTAATAAACTTTTGTGAAGAAAAGTTTATCAAAAATTAACAATGGAATTAATAAAAAATCAAATAAATCAAAACCTATGAAATTTTAGGTCCTAGATTGATACTTTTTCATCATTCGGGTCCTATACCGATAGATCTCATCTTTCAAGTCCCGAATTGATAATTTATCAATCTTTCGGGTCCTAAATTGATAAAATTCCAATCTTAAATGGTCAACAAAACATAGACTATATCAATAATCTCCGATATATATTATGGGTTTTTTACTTGTAATGATAAGAAAATCATCATAACTAAGTTACTTGTATATTTTGTCATATTTATAAACATTCTACACTAATTAGAGTCACTTTAGTTACAATTTTTTTCGTCACTTATAAACTATTTATGATGATAATATAATTGCATATATTTGTCACCAATCAAAATACAAAAATGCTATAGGTATTCCATTTTGGGTACCCCATTTTTACCGGACCTCTCTCTATTGTGTGGCCCAAATGAGGCAATATATTTAAGTGGGGCAACTCATTTAAATGTGACCTCATTTGAACCACATAAAGCATGAGGGTAAAAATGGGTACCCAAAAATGAGATTCCTACAGCACAACTCTTCAAAATATGTAAGGTGACGAGACATTTTTAATGACAAGATTGATTTGCCAAACTTTTGAGTAAAAAGGTATCATTAAGAAAAGATATAGTGCCAATATGTAAACATGAACGAAGTACGGAGTAATATATTCAATGCCAAACAATTGTACTTTATAAAAAAATTAAAGAATACAATAAAAAAATTAACATTCCAATGCGAATATACTCCATATAAAATAATATAATAGATGACTAAAACAAGGAATAATGTCAAAAATATTACTAATGGCTTTTATAAATACAAAAATATGACCGGATTTAAAATTAGTCAAAAGAGAGTGTAAATGAACGGAAAGAAAAGTTTCACCCTTATTCCTTCGTTCGTTCGCAGCACCCCTCATCCTTCGCTCCTTTGCATCGCAACACCGGCTCTCCTCCTTCGCTGCTCTCATCATCAATCGTCGTTGGTCTCCTTCCACCAATCAGCGTCGCCGATTTCTTTTTCTTCTCCTTTCTTGCATGTGGTGGAGATGGAGGACGATGACATCCAACGATATGAAGAAATCAGCAAGAATTGCAGATATACGATGGCTTCGAAGAAAATCCAATCGACGAATTCGGTGAATCTCAACGGTGAATACGACAAACCTGGTGGCGGCTAGGGTTCATTTATAGTGACGAGCGAGTTACAAGGGCGGAGACTCAGATTTGAGGCACGCGGCTTGGGTTTGATTCAGGGCTGGGGAGGGGCCTGAGAATTGAAGGGTGTTGGGGTTGGGGTGTTGGGACATGGGGCTAGGGAAGGGTAGGGCTATGTACGAGTGTACAAGTGTGGCGGTGGGTGGCGGTGCCAGCGTGATGGTTTGGGGCTGCGATTGTGCAGGGGTTGGGGGCTGGGGAGGGGTTGATGAGTTGGGTACGGGCTGGGAGGGGGCTGGTGGGTCGGGGAGGAGACGGAGAGGAAGCTGGTGGGCTGGGGAGGGGGCTGGTGGCTGGGGAGGGGCTGGGGAGGGGCCGGTGTAGGGCAACAACTGTCAATGTGATTGTCGGGGTTGTGTTTGGGGCTGAGTGCGAGTGTGGGAGTCGGAGTGGCGGCTGATCGGTCGCGGTGTCGGCGACGGCAACATTCACAGTGACATGTTTTCTGACGACAGTGACATCCGCACGACTCTAAGTGAAATTAAAATCTGATAGTGAATTTCGAAGTCCTTAAGTGACATTAAAATCTGGTAGTGACAATTTATAGTGACACAAAAAAATCTCAGTTACATAACAATTTACAGTTACATGATCACATTTTTGTTCATATTTAAAAGTAGTCACATTTTTAAAAATTGATTTTAATTTAGTAATATTTAGGGAAAATCTCCCTAAAACAAATGACTAGCTAAATAACTTATAATGATAATGAAATATTAAACTAAAAATAGAGATTATAAATCTATTAGTTGAGTACTCATAAATGCTATGAGTTTCTCCTTTTTTGAAGCATGATGAGGTAATTGATTTCTCAACTTTAATACTTGTGTTTCATTATGCGTAATATTGTTTGGTGTGTACTTCAGTTATGACGCACCCCAAAATTTGATGGTGCCTAATACATGGTTTTCCTTTTACTAAAGCTTAAAAGTTATATGAAAAGTGGATCCATGGAATAAATTAGAATTGAAAAAATGGCATAAGTATTACCCATGGACTTCTTAAAGACAAAAATATGACTATTTTTTACTATTCCAAAAATAAGACTTCCGTTTCCATCTATTTGAGCCTCACGCTAGTCACTTGCGAATCGACATATCTACGTCAATCCCCCAAGATGAGCTTTTCATCTTATCAACAGATGAAGCACTAAGCTGGGAGTGTCGCCGCTAAAATAGTTGTCGCCGCCACAGCTGAGAGTCGCTGATGCAACACACCTTTTCTCCGGCTTCGTCGCACCTGCACCGTCCTCACATCTGTTGGACGGAGCGGTTTGTTGCAGGTCACGATTTTCTCCCTTGAAATTCAACCCGCCATCGGGGCGCTCTCCTCCTAGAACTCAATCGCAGTGAGGATCTAAAATCATAGCTATTGAAATGTCGGATTCCGTCAGATCCGTTGTGTCGACCAGATCCGCCGTCGTCTTTGATGGAGCGATTGTTGCAGGTCACGGCTAGAGTTTCTGCGTTGGGGATGGGCCTTGGACATTGGTGAGACGCACCGGAAAGAGGGCTGGAGTAGGATAGGCAAGTTGCAGAGGGGGGGAAAAGGCAAGGCAAGGGTAGGGACAGGGAAGGGTATAACTGTGGGGCGTGGAGCTGGGAAGGGGGGTTGTGGCTGAAAAAAACGAAGGGGAAGGGAGGCTGGGAAGGGTGACGGTAGCTAGGAAGGGGGGTTGAGGGCTGGTGGTGGTGATGGATGGGATTAATATGGCGGGTCACTATGCTCGTGTCACTGAAGCCGGTGCTACAATGGCGGTGTCACTATTGCATTGTCATTGGCGGCGGCGGAGCGGTGATTTTATAGAGCGGAAAGCGGTCATAGTGACATATTTCACATCGACAGTGACATTCAATAGTGACATAAAAATAGTGACATAACAGTCCGGAGTGACCTTCTTAGTCACATTTTTGTCTTTTTAAAAAATGGTCACATTTTCGGAAATCAATTTAAATTTAGTAATATTGAAGGAAAAAATCCATTAGAATTGTAATGACGGGAAAGTGAGGAATTAATGTTTGAAAAGATTGAATCTCCAAGTACAAGAGTCCGTTTAATCAGACAATGCATTCGAGAGTTGTAAGTCACGATGATTAAATCAATTCAATAATGATAAACTTTATACTCATGCGCACCATAGATTTACTCGACACACATTTGAGAGCGGTAACATATTATGTAGAAAAAAAGAAGGGAAAGTGGGGACTCAAATGAGAGGGTCAGGGTTCCATCAATTCAAAGGCCTAGCTAGCTAGATACTGCCTAGCTACTAATTACATTGAATTGGAGGCTATATATTTTCCACTGATTCAAGAAGAAGATCAAAGACTTATAGAATCGGACTTGAAAGTAATGAATGTAGAGAAAGAGAATATGGAGCCAACCAATTCAGAGGAATTAGGTGTTAATGAAGTTGCATATACTGCCGCTGTAGTACCTCCGACGATCGGGAAAAAGAGGAAACTGGTTGTAATGGACATTAATGGCATTCTTGCCATTGCTGTTAGGTACCCTGTCCCAGGTGGTGCCAGCTTTCCTGGCCGATGGACAAGTACGTATGAGAAACAACAATCTATGCATTTGTTTGCTTTGAAAAAAATTGTAGATTTGACCTATAATTATATTTAGAGTCCGTTTGGTAACACTGTTTTTCGGCTTATCAAACTCATCAACCAAATATTTTCACCAAACACATAACTTTTGATCGCGCGCTAAAATGTGTAATAATAAGAAAAAATAAAATTGAAGTTACTTTTCTAGGTGTATCGGCTAAAGTTACCTTAGAAGACCATTTTAGTTGTTTTTACATATAATTCTTTCTTTATTTTATTAATAAAATATATTTTAAATTTAGTTTTTTCAAAAACTAGCCCAATAAAATTAAAATAACAATCCACGCTTCATTCGAGCTTAATTAATCTAAAGAAGTTGGCTCGGTCGAGTGCTTTACTAGACGAAATCAAATTAGGGTGAGAGGTGAAATCTATAACACTTCATCCGGTCATAAGAGTATATTATAAGTAAATTTCTATTTAGGACAATTTCTATAACTAAACTCGTATGGGTTGTATCTCCTCAAAAAATATCTTTATGACGTGCATGTCAATCCATCTTAACATTATTAATGACTTGGGCAACTTTTTTATTTATTAAAAACCCATGTTCAAATATTTCTCACACCTGATCCATAATCATGATGTAGATACTCTACGAAAAATGATGACAATTGTGTAAAAATGTTTTTATTTGGACATAGTTCAGTGAAGTCAAGACCAAAATAATGAATGAAAATTCAATCCAGATGAAGTGTTTAATCGTGAGGATGAATGTTGAAATATTTCTCACACCCATAAAATCTGAAATAATGAATTACAATATAAATACTTCATTTATATGTTGACCTTTTCGAATGAAGTATTGAGTCATAAAAGTATCTAATGAAATTCCAGTAGCAAAGCGACCTTTCTGTGAAGATTTTCTCCACTTCTGCTTCGAGAGGTTTGACGTGGGCATTTGGACATCTAGAGCCAAGTATGTATCTATATTTAGAAACATTATGTTATGATTTATTCTGAGTTTGCCTGTAATTAATATTATGTGGAAATGTGGACCCTAAACAAATCTTGAAGTATTTCTACTCCCTCCGTCTCTTGAAACTTTGCCAAGTTTGATTGGCACGAGAATTTATAAAGTAAAAACTGTGTGGTTGAAGTTTGTATAGAGAAGAGAGAATTAACAGGAACCACAAATTTTTTACTTAAAAGAGAAAGTGGCAAAGTTAGTGGGACATGCAAAAAAGGAAAGTTGACAAAGTTTTAAGGGACGAAGGGAGTATAATTTAGAGGTATTTACCTAAATAGGACTAAATCAGTTTTTAATTGCCAAAATAGGACCAAAGTTTACAATTTTCCCAAATAAGAGTTATTATTTGCAATTAGACAAAATTTACCCCAAGCTTGGAACTTGGAAGTCATACTGCCGCAGACCACAACACTGGACCACAACCATTCGCCAGTCACCGCCATTCACCGCCGGTCACCGCCGGTAGCCGCGGGTCGCTGGACATCGTCGAAAACCTCAAAAATTGGCCGTCGTTGTAGATCTGCCAGCCGCCGTTGCAGATCTGGCGGGCGCCGCCGGAGATCTGGCCAGATTTAGCCTCCGTCGGCCGTCGGCCGCTATCCCTTCAGATTCAGCCACCTTCGCAACTACTCCGGCATCCGCCGTTACAAAGCTGACCTCCCTAGTTGCAGATCTACCTGTTTCCGGCGTAAATGCCAAATTTTTTATCAGAATGCCATCTTAAAGGCATTTTCAAATAAAAATAGAAAAATTTTTAAGACTAAAAATGCCATTTAGATGGCATTTTCAGATTTAACTTGGCATTTTGTAATCAAAGAAGAAAAATCAGAGAAGAGAAGCAGATCTACGGAGAAGAAAAGTTTATCTCCGACGATAGCAGTGGCGGTGGCCTTCGCAACAGCAACAGTAACGGCGGTGGCCTTCATGACGGAGGTAGTAGCGGTGATGGCCTTCGCGACTGCGGCAGCGATGCCTATGAGTGAGCTTGTAGGTTCATTGTGGGGGAAAGAGAAGAAGATTGATGTGATGGGGGATGAGATCGATGTGTGCACATGCAGGATATAATATAGGGAAGAAAATAAGGGTAGAAGGGTAATTTAGTCCTATTTCAGGAATAAAAATATGCATAATCCTATTTAAGAATTTCAGGAACAATTTAGTCCTATTTGGGACAATATTTCTATAATTTATATGCGGTGCTTAGTGAGAGATATTTAAATAATTCACAAATTAAAGTATAGATAGTGGGTGAAACTTTAGGATAGAAGTACCAGTACTATATTTTTGAGACAAATATAACACAAATGTAACACAAAGAAGAAACTCATTCAAAAAGATAGTACTGCTACTACCAAAACCTAATTTAATCTAGCTTTCTAAGAGAAGAAAATAGAGTAGTCCTATTTTAAAATTTTAGAGTGTTTTTAATACAAGCAAATTACCTAAAGGCCTAATCTACCAATCACAACAGTGAGTTTAAATAGTATTAGTTGGAATGTTTAATTAATGATTGATTCAGTATCTTAACTTAGTCTCATCTATGTGTGTCTAAAAATGTACGTACAGGGCAGATTATCTTGACCAAATTGTTGATTATTTATTGGGAAATATGAAGAAAAAGTTGTTGTTTGTGTGGGTAAGTTGAAATTTCGTTCCTTTATTCGTTTAACGATCAATAATCACATATTAGATGAACGCTTGCAAGCAATTTAGTTTGAATTAATTTGCCTCCTCTTATTACCTATGTTTTTTATAACGAAACCTGTAGGATTGGTCCTATTGTTCCCGAACAGGATTTATGACTCCTGAGAATAGGTACAAACCCTTACTTTGTAAGGAGTTGAAGAAGATATGGGAGAATGATTGGCCCAACCAACCTTCCGTGAAAGGTTACTACAATGAATCAAACACACTATTGGTGGATGATTCTCCAAACAAGGCTTTGCTTAATCCTGTAAGTACACCAATTATTGAATACAAAGGGTTCTATTAAACTTAAATCTAGTTTAATATTTCATCCATACCTTTAAGTTCTTAGGATTAATTAGAGGAGGTAGATGTAGTTATTATTAGGATGACCGGAATAGGAAGGGTTCCCAGAACGATCGGAAAGTATGTCTTTGCTTGGAGTTAACCTGGACATTCTCGTAGAACCCTCATCCTATCGGGTGAGCTACGCCCCGAGTAACTTAAGGTTACGTTGTACTCCATACATAATATCTAATTGCTCATGAAATACTTTATACTATGTTATTTTGTGGGACGACTTAACAATTTTTAAACGAGAATACTATTTTTTATTGTAAAACAATAATATCGTTAACTAATAAAGTCGATAGTCATATGACATGCACTAAAATATGGTCTTAATCATTAGTTTAGATTGATCTATTTAAATCTAATTTGGTCTTATATTTGTATGGCTTCATAGAGTCACACCGCAATCTTTCCTCATTCCTACACTGAATCAACGATGATGAATGATCAATCATTAGGTAATTGCATTCCCAATCCAGTTACACTTTCTTAAGTAATCATTATGGTTTAGTCTTTAATTGTATTAATAAATATTTCAGGTCCAGGAGGCGATCTTCGAGAATATTTAGAAGGGTTAGCAGGAGCTGAAGATGTGAGAACATATGTGCAGGATCACCCGTTCGGTCAAAAGGCCATTGACTATACACACTCCAATTGGAAAGTTTACTCGGGAATTATTAGAGCTGTCTCCAACCGTTCTTGATTATTTACCGACCATTTTACCCTCCATGGACCCTAAAGTATTGGTTCAGCCCCACTAAACGTTTTGTTGAAGGGCAACTAGCAATAAAATAAAAATCGGCCATATGTTCTGACTAATAAAATGATCTTTAAGAGCCTGTCCCAAACTTGACACTTTTTCCATGATATTTTTGTATTTCGTGCAAGGAATCGCCATCACTCGACTTGGTTTTGTAGATTTCCCTTTTGAGGAAACTATGATCTACACAATATACACTATGCATTCAAGTTTTTATATTACATTATTACTTATTAGTATAAAATAATATAATAAATCAACATACAATTTAGTATCTTGAGTTGCTCTCCTATAACAAAGTTTTTCCTAAAATATAACTAAAATAATACTCATAATCAAGCAGAAGAGAGATGAATCACTCCGCAATTTTCTAGAACGATGGAGGCACGAGACGCTTCATGTCGAGGGGCGGATGCATGACAGGACGCTTCTCAACATCTATTGAGACGTCTTACAACCAAGTTCCTTTACGAGAAGCCTCATCACTGACCTTCAAAATCTTATGTCAAGGGAACTCCAACGTGGTGACCGCCACACATAAGTGTCGACAATGATAAGTTCATATATCAACACGCATTTGATGCATGTTAGGATTGAGTTTTGCCACTTTTCCTAATCTATATGAGTCACAAAGTGTTTAATTAGCTCAAGTCACGGTTTACCGGGTTTGGACTGCGTTTGTTTTTTTAGAAGCGAAAATCAAGAATTTAAGACCGGCATCGGCGTTTGAGAAGTTATTGGAATGAGTCGAGAGGCAATTGATAGTTGATTAGGAACAGTGGAGGTCAACAAGCCGTTAAAGACAATGTTTTGAAGACAAAAGAGCTCTAGGATCGCCCACAGGATCAAACGAAGACTTACAGACCATTTGTTTCATGGGCGGATCTATGTAGGGCCTAGGGTGGGCTCTAGCCTAGCCCAACCCAATTTTTTTTTGTTAGTATAGAAAGAGATTTAATTTTCAGCCCACCCAAAAAATTAAAACTCAGCCCACCCCAAGTCTACAAGGAAGTGTTCTAAGAAGCTCTAAAAGCAAAAGGCTGCCCAAACTTTGTTTAAAGCTCATAGTCATGGGAACAAATGATCCCGATGCGTAATAATAGAGCTTGGTGTGATTGCACCAAGAAGTGATTTATATATAGGACACACAGGAGGGTGAACCATCCTTGCAGTCGGTATGGGATAAATTGAGGAGCAAAACTTTACATACGGAGTATTAAACAATCGTATGTAGTTGGTGTTTGGAGCCAACTGCAAATTATGCAATCCCATCTCACCCACTCACCCACACCATCAATGAAAGCACTTTATATTACAAGTTTACAATATTATTTTACAACATAAAATTTATGATTAATATTATATTTTTATTATAATACTGTTATTATTATATGAATATTACTATTATTTGACCCAAGTCACCATGAGTAACTTTTATAAGCATTAAAATTTAAACATAATTATAATCATTAAAATAACTAAGTTACTCTTTATCAACTATCCTTATTTGGTCATATACTATTTCTATTATTATTATTATTATTAAAATTATTATTATTAATAATAAAATTATGCTTTTTCCATCACCCAGTTCATTATCTAGTTCTAATTTTTGCAACAAGCATGGTAAGAACTACTATTTGTGATTTTTAGAACTGTAGAAGTATACTTTTGTTATAAAGCGACTAACAAGCACAAAGGAGAAGCGGGAAGGACTCAACTCAGTAAAGCGACGAAGCCACGATGTTACAAACACAGGCACCCAGCCGCGCCGCCACCTGCTTTCCTGTCCCCTATGTCTGCGGTCGATCGTCGGTGTCCCTCTGGAGTCCGACACTCCAGCATGTAGCTCGTTGTGGCTCTGCCCCTCTAGTCTATTCGAGTCCGACGTTGCCTCTAGCCGAGTCTAGTTGTCCAGCCATCCACACATACTCTTATACTCTTTTAATCTATTATTTTGTGCATTAGTTTTATTTAATAGTTATGTAATTCTATTTGATTATTAATTTAATTTATGCTCAAACTCGGATTGAATAAAATAGATATATGAACTCTATTTTTTTAGTGTTCAAATATATTTAAAAAATTGCAATGAAAATGTTTAAATTTTAAGATAAATAAAATTTATTCCTATAATTTACGAGTTATTGATAGACTCGAGTCCGGATCAAACCGAATACCACTATGCTCGAACTTAGCTTGAACAACTATTCGAACTCAAAATCTAGCTCGTGTTCGAGTTAAAAAAAGCTTCTTAAGCTCAGATCACTAAATTAAATTCGAAATCACGCTCGAATTCGCGTAGTTCGAAAAAAACTCAATTCAATTACAGCCCTAAGCAGCCTAAGCTAAACTTTTTGTTTGCAATAACAATTTTTTTTCCTGCTAAGCCCACCCCACTCTTCATTCCTGGATCCGCCCCTGATTTGTTTAGACGAAAAGTGAAGAAATTGACTCTGGCCGCCCACACGGCCGTCCACACACCGTGTGCAGAGCCATGTGCACCCTAGAGGATTCTATTACGTACACGCGGCCGTTCACACACCGTGTGCAGAGCCGTGTGCATCCTAAAGGTTTCTGTCACGTGCACACGACCGTCCACACACCGTGTGCAGAGCCATGTACATTTTCAAAGTTATTGTTCATCCGAACGCGGAAAGCTTGGCCACGCACATGGCCGTTCACAAGGCCGTGACGACTGTGTGCGAATAAAAAAACGCCCCAAAGTGTATTTTTCCTGTTTAAACAAGCTTTAAACCCTTATTTGAGGGAGAGGAGTTTAGAGAGAAGCTAGGGGAAGAATTTCTTAAGGTTTTTGAGCTTTGTTCATCAAGATTTTGGAATTCTTTGTAAGTTCCATCATTTTAGTTAATGACAATTAATTTTTTCCTTCTCAATTCTGTTGATTGCTCAATTATGAATTGTGAGTAGTTTTAATTAGAGATTTGGGATTGATGAAGAGGTTAATCATGATCAATCTTGGGCTATTTTCATGATGAATTAATTGCATGATATTTATTTAATTTGTGTTTGAATGATTTAATTGATATCTCTTGTAACCTTAAATGTCCACTATGATTATAATTGCATATAAAATAAATTAAGAGAGGTCTAATTTATTATAGGACACCTTCACACACACTTAATCGTTCGCTAAGATATTAGTAACGGTTAAGGGGCCGTACGCTCGCTCATTTTTGAAATAATTTAGGATCCTATCGCATGAGAGATCAGTCTGGTTCCCTAAATTATTGTACTCTACGCCGCGAGAGCGGTAAAAACTTAGTATTGACTAGCGTTGCTCAATTAAATAATTTTCATGTGGTTAAGACTGATCATCCATAAATCTGATTACTCCGGAATCAATCCTTGTTCCCTAGCGTCATTGATTAGAAAGAACCCAATTATTTTTCCCTTAAGAGTTATTTATCCCTTTTATGACTAAAAGAAGCTATGTTTCCCAATATATGACTCAATGAATTTTTTTCCTATTTTCATACTTAAATTCCACCGTTACCTCAAATGTAACAAGTGACTAATTCATCCTAAAAATAAGGAAATTATTTAAATGAACCATGAGTTGCACGATTAGTTAGATGGTTTAGAATTATAGTCATACAATGGTAAAAAAACATGGTTAGTCATATTATAGGAATTGACATGAGTTTTAGTAATATAAGATAAATTTCCATTATTTTAATTGTTTAATCGCATTTTAATTTTCCACTAATCCAATCTCGCACAATTGCATTTTATTTTATTTATTTAATCGCTGAATTTAGTTAATTCCTGATTCCCCTTTTCTGTCCATGTGGAGACGATACTCGTACTTGCACCCTATTCTACTACATATTTTAAGTGCGAGAAAACTCATATCAGACACCTTCTCCTAAAGGCCCAAGGAAGACAAGCTCCTTCTACCCAAGAAAATGGGAAGCAGCAGCAGTCAGGAAGCTCTCCCCCGGACCCACAACAAGACATACCCTGACAGGCCAAGCCAAGTCGGGAGGATGACACAGAGGGAAGAGGACCTCGACATGGCTGCAATTTCTAAAGCAACCATGTTGGGCTCTGATGCACCTCGTTAGCCTCATTCTCGATTATGCAAAAGAGAATGGTTTGGTCGAGCGGGAGCCAAGGTCCCCTTAAGAGATATACGCCGTCCACTAGGGCGGCCCTTACTATAAATTTCACATGCACATCAACCAAAACATCAACAGTTTCCACACGCTCAAAATGGCCATCAAATGCCTTAATCGGACCATCTTTCCAAGTTTGTTAAAGGTGCCCCAAATTCTAATACTTGGGTGAACATTGACAATCGAGGAGAGGGGGCCTCAACGAAGAAGCGGGATATTGGCAATATCAGCAAGCATGAGGATTCCGAAGGCCGAACCCCCATAAGCTTCACATCAGGTTTATAGTTGGTGGCAACACAGGGGTGGTTCCACCACAACCCCAAGAAATGCACCTTCAGCATCCAAGGGGGCAATTCTTATGAAATATGTTTAGCCAACAGGGTATTGAGGCCAATATGGAGAAGATAAGGGCTATCATCGACATGGAACCGCCTCAGAACGTCAAATAAGTGCAATGTTTTACAAGTTGCTTTGCCGTTCTAATTCGTTTCCTTTTCGGGTCGGCTGAGTGGTCACTCCTCATTTTCTAAATAATGCGCAAGATGGCAAGTTTCTAGTGGACCCCTGAATGCAAGCAAGCTTTTGATGAGTTCCAAGAAGTACCTCACCTCTCCCTTGGTCCTCTCCAAGCCTATATTCAGGGAGACGTTATACCTGCATCTCAGAATAAGCACCTCAACCATCAGCTCAGTCCTTATCCAGGAACATGAAGGGGCATAATAAACCATCTTTTATGTCGGAAAGACATTGTTGTACACGGAACACAGACACTCTCCGATCGATAAGATGGTCATGTCCATCGTCTAAACAGTAAAGAAACTCGTGCACTGTTTTCAGGCCCATCGTGTCCACGAACTCACACAGCAACGCCTCTGTGCACTAATGAGAAGCCTCACCAGTTCCTCCAGAATGGTTAAGTCGGTCATATTCTTGAGCTATGATATTCATGTAATTTTTATTGTATGTTTGTTATTTTAACTAGTTTTTATTAGTTCTAGTTGAGGAAATTACACACTTTTGGTGTAATACTTTATTTTCATATTTATTTGTAATTTGTTTAGATTAGGACTTTTCTGAGCTAAACAGGTCAAAGATCATCCAAGGGATCAAGATTGGACCTTAAAAGATCAAGGAAAATGCAAGGAGGCAAGAAAGATTTCGATTTGGAAAAAATACTCATGTACCCGGTCGGGTATTGCCTATACCCGATCGGGTATTTGCTTGATTCGATTGTCCAAATCAAATCCGGGAACAAATGATCGTGGGAGCAAGATTTCGTTAAGATTTGTCACATACCTGATCGGGTATGCCGACATACCCGATCGGGTATGCCCAGAAAAGTGAATTTCTGGGAAATTTCCTCAGACACCCGGTCGGGTATCCTCTATACCCGGTCGGGTATCAGACCCTGCAGCTCCCAAAAGCCTATAAATACACCCCTTTCCTTCACAATAAGGGATCCAATTCCTTTGTACATCTAAGCTCAGTATAGAATAGTTCTTTCTTTATATTTTTCATCATGTTTAGTCTCCAAATGAGGAGCTAAACTCTTCCATCTTGGTTTTGCTACTTTGAAGCTTAATGAATTTGTAAGTTGTGAGTTATTTTCTTTAATCTTCTTCCTTGAATATTAATTCTTCCTTTAAAATACTATCTCTATATCAAAGTTGGGGAGTGTTACTAAGATGACAATTAGTTAACATCTTGACATTGGTTATAGTAATAGCTATTTCTTCCTCTATGTTAATATTGGGGAGTGTTACTAAGATGACAATTAGTTAACATCTTGATATTAATCATAGTAGGATTCATATTCTTTAATATTCTTCCTTGAGTATTAATGAATTCCGATTCATATTTCATGTTAATATCTTAAACATTACTTAAAGTATCAACTAGTATTGTTTCTCATATTAATTATTACTAGAATCAATCGGTTAATACACTTGTTATTAATCCGGTTGTTTTAACGGTAGTAAACTTGGAATATTAATGCATGCATCTCATGGTTAATATGCCAAGGGGAATTAATTATATTGATTGAACCAATAAACCGCTTGTGTTGAGGTTATCAATCTCAATCGTCTTCATCTTAAGTTTATTGCTACTATCAAGTTAATATACGGCGCTTGTTCTATATTAGCTCGATAGTAAGTTTTATTAATGAACGCATCTCGTTATTAATAACTACCCTCGATGAACTGGATATACTCCTCGATTGAGTATTCGAGAGGAAGATAGTTAAAGATATAACCGGGATCGACGATCATTTCATTAAGTGGATAAAAGCAAAACCAAGTCCTCATCTCATTGAATTAAACTCATATAGGTTGTTTATTTTAGTGTTTTTAAACCAAACAAATCTAACCCCCCCGTTACTATTTATATAAAAGAAAAGTATTCATTTCCCTGTGGATACGAACCTTACTTCGTTATACTACGTATATTCGTTGTATTGTATTTATTTTGAGTGCACCGCACGACAAAGTGCACGTCAAGCTAGTACGAGATCAAAATCAAGTTGAGGTCGTCTATCAAAAGGTAGGCCATCACACATTTTGTGACAGAATTCACACTTGAGCTAGTACGAGATCAAAATCAAGTTGAGGTCGTCTATCAAAAGGCAGGTCATCACAGATTTTGTGACAGAATTCACAGCACGAGACGCTACCCCCGAAAGCTCAAAGGATTGTGTTGGGCTTTCGGACCACGAGAACTTAACTTCAAGAATGGCGTCGTCGCATGTGAGAATTTTCGAATTCGAAGACCAAAAATGTCTCTCACACAATAATTGAAGACTTAATTCCACTTTTGGTCTTGAAGACCATTTGGTGTCCTTCTCCCGCAATTTTAACCACCGGAGTTATTACCGGAATGACCAAAAGTCAAAGTGGGGGAATCAAATACGAGTAAGATAGAGGGGTGCCATCAATTCAAAGGCCTATCTAGATACTGCCTAGCTACGAAAAATTCCATTGAATTTGAGGCTATATATATACTCGTATATGTATTCCATTGATTCCCATCTAGAATTGAAGCGCGGTACGTACTACTCGAAGACTTATAAAGTCAGAGCTGAAAGTAATGAATGCTGAGAAAGAGAACATGGAGGCAACCCATTCCGAGGAAGAAGGTGAAGTAGTCTCAAATGGCGTTGCACTGCCTTTGACGATCGGGAAGCAGAGGAAGCTGCTGATATTGGATATTAATGGCGTTCTTGCCCTTATGCTTAGGTACCCGGTCTCCGGTGGTGTCACCTTTCCCGGCGGGTTGACGAGTATGCATCACTCACACATCCTTTTACTCCTATTTGCTTCACAAAATTATATTGTAATTTAATTTTGCATGTCTTCCTAACGTACTGTTCTATCGCGGTCGGAGGCCCTCAGACAGGGGCGGATCGTAGTACAGACAGGGGCGGATCGTAGTACAGACTCAGGGGTTACCGCTCCCAACAAGAATTTTTTCAGTGTATATATATATGAAAAATAATTTTATCCCTTCGAAAAAATATTTTGAATCTTCCAAAAAATATTTTCGCCCCCAAGATGACTTTCATGGATCCGCCTCGTCCTCGGGAATGGGGTGTCATCCTTTTTTTTTTCTTTCCTCACACTTAAGTTGCGATTGAATGAGTTGAATAATAAAAATATATTTAAAATATATTCTACTAATAAAATTAGGTTATAATTATATGGAAGATATCAAGATAGCTAAAATCTTCTTATACGGTAATTTCAATTAGTTGAGTCAGAAAAGTAATTTTAAGATTACCCATATAGACAAACCCGGCTTTGACAGATAGGAGGCTCTGTTCAAAATATTATAGGAGGCCCTGACATCTAATTCAAAAATGCTAATAATAAAATAAAAAGATGTACTCGTATGAAATTTTATAAAGTGCAATCCGGCTCATTGAAGAATTACATCAAGAGTATAATCAGTATTATTAGTATTGGCATCTATATTATCATCAACATTAGCAATTTAAGTCTTTAACACCAATATTTTCATTTGTAGAAAAACATTGTTATTCCTTGGTAACATTTTTTTTTCTAAACTCCCTTTTCAGATATAATTATTCATTCGATTATTTTTTCCTCAAGTTTTTCCCTGTTTTCAAAAGCAAAAGTTAAGAAATACTATCGTACTACGTATTATCGTGAGCGGAGAGCCTCTAGAGTGCTCGATTTCCAAGCAAGACACAAATCATGAGATCGAATTCTATATTCCAATAATTCAATTACACTGACTTGAACAAATTAATAAATAAAATTTTAAAAAGATGCCATAGGTCGGAAGAAGAACCGAATAAATTGGAATATTGAAATTTGGAAGAAATATTTCTGTAGGCCTGCTCCGATCCGTTCTGTCTCCTTGGAAATTGCATTAAAATGAGCAGGTCCGGCTTCCTTCCTGTCTCTTCGAAAAAAGGAGATAGTTGTCGCTTAGTTTCTCTCTTGTTCAAATCTCCATTTCTAGGTTTTCACTTGCTTCTAAAACACGGATTCGAGCATTATTTTGGAGCATTCAGAAGTACTTTTACACTTTTATCCAAACACTTTCATATCTGTTTATACTCTTTGAAAGAGTAGAAACAATTTTAATTAAGAAACATATCCAAACATCGGCTATGTATATAAATGAGCTGAATTACGTACTTTAATATAAAAAAGTTTATTCATTATTAGTGCCACACACGGTTACACGGGTCACTTGACTAGTAAATGTTAATAAATGCTAAGTTGTTAACCTCTTATCTAATTAATAGTGAGGGGTATTTATAGTAGAGGGTCTTAACCGAAAGGTGTGACATGCCGCTTTCTCATTCGCCCAACTTCTTTTAATTCTCTGCATATATATTGTTGAATTCATGCATTAAATGATCTTCCTGACATTTCCGAGTTTTCGGCCGAAACAATTGTTAGGAAATTGATGTAACGTACCTTGAAAGTACGGCGGCGGAAGTTTAACATTTTCCCAAACAGATCTTTCCTATTTATGACAAAACAACGAATATGATAATAATAACAGATTTGAGTTAGAACTTACAGATCTTCCTGCCTAGCGGTGATAATCCTTGACCTTAGGTATCCACGTGATTTCTCCTCTCCGAAAGAACGATTAGATCTCCCTTAGAGAAAAGCTAGGAAATCTCTTCGCAGGGAAATAAACTGGTAATACTGAATCTGAAAATTCTACTACGAATTATGAAGGAGGATGTATTTATACTAGTTCTAAACTAGTTTTCCAATCACAATGAAAGTCTATCTCATTAATGAATTCTAGCCCTAATAGGACTAATATCCCTCATTAATTAAATAAAGATACAAATAAAATAATAATAATAATACAACCGTACATAGTTAAAGGGGATGGACTTGCCACCACCCTTATTCTATGTACTATGTACATTATTTATTATTTATTTTATTTACAATTTCTTGAATACATTTAATTCCAAATTGCAATCAAGAAATTACAAACTTTATTTAGTTATAAATACGTTTTAATTAAGTATAATAAATCCAATTTATCTTACTTAATTAATTCTATCAAATAGAACTCTCCTTCAACTTCATGAATTAAATATGTTTAATCTAATTAATATTTAATCCATTTTCAGTATTACAAATTAAACATTATTTATTCCAATTAATATTTAATTTCTTCTAACAATTCTATCGGAAGGTATAATCACTTTTTGTGTGACCCATAGGGCCTTATATATTAAGCACTAATCAAATTAAGGTCTTAGTAGAATCCCTAGACGATGTACCAGACAAACTTGATATATAAGGACGTTTGCGAGGACTATTCAAACTCTCTGTAATATAAAGCTCATAGTGATACGGTCCTTTCATTCAGCGAACATTCAACTAAGTCTAGAACATGATATTGTGTCTATTCCAATAACTCAGTCTCTGTCTCTCAATCTTTCTAGATGATCCATTACGATCATATTCGATATCCAAAACGAATATATCTTTGCATTGGCCAATGACTTTATGATCCATCTATATATGAGAAGTAGAATGTTCTCTCGTAATCTATTATGAGGAATGAATCCTTTCTTGGCTCAACTACTACTCCATGTGCTTCGTGATGCACCCAACACATGTCGTATCTACCCCGATCGGAGTGCAAGCGTTGGTCATGGTCAAAGTACATCACTCCGCACATGTAGTACGTATTGACCTCAAGTCGGAGGACTATTACACTACTCTATACGCCGATAATCCCATAGACACATGAATAGAATTATCAAATGGTTTCTCGATGGGTATGCCAATATTCTCTAAAATATCTATGTGACCATCATGAATTACATGAACTCATAGTTGTGAGATCAACTATACTTTCTAAAAGTATGATGCAGTCCACATACCAATCTTATCGCATATCATCAATATCCCATTCTTGATGATCATTGATTGGGGCTATTTTAGGACTTTATGTGATATCATATAAGCTCCCACTTACTTATTGACAACATAAGTCCAAGGGAACACAATTATGAATAAGATATTGACAATCAAAATACTTAATCATCAATGTGTAATACCGTATATATCAAATATATAAAACTGAATGTGATCAAGTACATATATCTCTAAAAAGTGATTGTCGCTAGGACATATATACTAACAATCTCCCACTTGGCCTAGTGCCAATCACCGATGTGTCTAACACCTAGACTCTCAAAAGTCTAGTGTGTTTCTCACATCTCAAAGGTTTGGTGAAAGGGCCAGCCAAATTGTCCTCTACGGGAAGGCATTCTATTACAACTTCTCATCTTGCTATTTGTTATCAAAACATGATAGCATACTGGTATTTTCTAGTTCCTTACTTTGCATCTTAGTTCCTTAGCTTGTGCAAATGCACCGGTACAGTCACAATAACAATTATTGGATAACTGTCGCTAGGAACTACCCATATTTCTTTAAAGAACTAACGTATCTAAACGCTTACCTATGTTGCATCAAATGCAACAATTTACTAGACTCTAGTTGTCGAATTTACTAGCATTACTATTACATTGAGACTAAAAACATATACTGATTGTGACTCGTAGTCTTTGTTATCATACATGAAACTAGTGCTAGAATAGTTAAATTCTACTAGTTCTTTCTGTCTACCATAGACAAAAGATATTCATGAAAATTTTGGGTGACCATTCTTTCACGGACTTCAATGAGGGGATATCATTCTCTATAATCAACATATATGATTTTAAAGACCATGCTATCCTTGTTGCGCACTCTAAACACGCAAGCACCCTCATTTCATTTGATGAGGTCAAACGGTTTGACTTTTTCATCAAAATTAATATTCCAACTCCTAGATGCTTGTTCTAGCCCATATATGGATTTCTCCAATTTACATACTGATTTGGGATTTGACTTGGATATAAAACCTTCAGGTTGTACCACGTACACCTCCTCCTTGAGGTTTCCATTAAGGAAAACAGTTTTGACATCCATTTGCCAAATCTCATAATCATAGTATGCTGCTATCGCAAGCAAAATTCGAATGGACTTGAGTTTTGCAACTGGCGAATAGGTGTCACTATAGTCAATTCCCTCTCTTTGACTATAACCTTTAGCCACTAGCTTAGCTTTGTATGTTTGCACCTTGCCTTCGGCATCAATTTTCTTCTTGAAAACCCATTTGCATCCAATGGGTCTAACCCCAACAGGCAAGTCAACCAAGTTCCATACTTGATTGATATACATCGAGTCCATTTCAGATTTCATGGCCTCTCGCCACCTCTCTGAATCAATATATAATATTGCTTCAGTGTAAGTCTTAGGTTCATCCTTGTCAGGAATTTCAACATCATCATGATCCTCCATGAGGAAGCCTAACCTAGTTAGTTCATGATGAATCCTAGTAGACCCGCAGAGTTGCATGTTTTGCGTTTTGTTCAGGCTGTTCATTCTGATCGTGAAGAGGTTCTCTTTTATTGGACTATCCAATGCTTAGAGAGTTTTCTGGTGCTACACTTTTAAGTGTTTCCAGAGAAAGAGAAGTGGGTGCAGAAGGAATGACATCCATGTCATCTTATCTTTAATAAGAATCACTTGCTGGTGCGAGGTGATTCCTATATTACTCCCACTAGCTGAAGGATATCCTCCTAGAGACATTCTTCAAGTCAATTCTCCCACTGAATCCTTTGTTAGACCATCTAACAAATCTTCATTCTCTATGTTACTTCAGCTTTCAATTTGATTAGTGCACATTTCTTTACATATGCAGGGCAACCCATATTTAATA